CCCAATCGTCAGCAACGGCAGCCATGTCCGGTTGGATCCAGTCTGGTCCAGCCTCGCGATGGCATTGAGCAGTGTCAGTGTCGTATCCAGCAGTCTTTTGATGAAGGCTCGACTGCCACTGGTCGGTTTCAGATCGGATGATTGAGTTCCTCGAAAACAGACCTTTTTTTTTTAATTTTGCTTTGGCTTTGGACTGTGGAACTTGGACCTTGGTTTTTAATGCGCACTTGAAGGGGTCCTTGCTAAAGTCATGAAAGAAAACCTGAAAGGCGTAGTTGGGCAACCTGGATTGGCTGTTATGACCCCGGCAATAGTCAAACTACTTGAGTGGCTGTTCATACAGAGGTGCCACCGAGAGTCACGAAACTGCCTGGGTCACGTGCAAATCATCAATAATGAGATAATGAGATACTATTAGGATCGCATGGTTTTCATTGGTTGTCTCTGACACTGAGAAACTTCGCTCTCTTGAGAAGGATCCATAGTCTACTAGCTTAGCGTTACTCTTTGTTCCCGTACTCTCTTCCGATTGCTGCTCTGTCCATCCAATAACACTAATTCCTGCCTTACCTATTTAGGAGTATATACACTTTCCGCTCTCATGGCTTTATTGCCGTATCCAATAAAGTTACTTCTTTCCGAACTCCCTACGTTTCTGGATTTGGCCACTTCTATCTTTTTCATGTTTCATAATCTTTTCGGCTATCTTTCATCCTTTTTCCCATGTCGTTTCAGGGCATCGGCGTGCGGAGCTTGCAGAGCGCGCGTCACTAGTGATTGGGCAGACCACTCCCGGCGTTCGAGGAGCTCATTGGTTTCTTGGCACTTGAAACTAGTGCTGGTTCATACTAGTGTGAAATCGATCCCAATACTAATTTCAAAGAGCGAAATCCATTGTTTCTATCCACCTAACGGGCTTTTTGTCTTCTTGAATTTGATTCGGAACTTAATGCAGCCCTCTGTAGTTATCGGCTGCTACATCATCATCCCTTCCACAGGTCACATGTTCTTCTAGTTCACATTTGATTCTGAGACAGGCATACTGTTTAAAATATTCTCAAAGCATATTGTGGTCCCCTCAATAATTAAGATCTTGAAGGTCGGTGGTTTCCGTGGATGATTCCCCGGCATAGTGGGCAAATTGCCTGCCTTTCAAACCAGATTTGGAGACAGCCCAAATGAAACACATGCCCACAAAGAAGCCTTTTCGTTCGAGACATCTGTTCATGACGCGTGGCTTGTATATATCCCGGGGTGGGTCTCTCATCGGCCGAACTAAGCCCCTTTGCAGCGTAGACTTGCTCCCACGGCCACATACGCTCATAGCAGATCACACACACATTTGCCTCACCTATCTGTCCAGCCGTAGCATCGGAATTTCGTTCATTAATTTCTTGAAGAGCCCATTGATAGTTAAGAAAAGCACGTAAGCGCGTTATGAGCGATAAGGAAGTGGCAAATATATGGCTAGTGATGATAGGGCGCTTATAAGAGACAAGGCAGACAAGAAGGTAGGATACGCTGATAAACAGCACTGCGCACTCTGAAACTTATTAGCAAAGCCAAGTTTCGAGATGCAGTTGATTGAACGTGGCAATTGTGTTTACCTGTTATTGCATTCAGAGAAAACATCGCTCGCCTTTTGTCCTTTCGTTCTTCGGAGGGATTTCTCATGAATGCCTCCTCACGTAGCGAAAAAAATGACAGCGTCGTTGACATAGCCGATATCGACACGATTGTATGCTCGAAACCAAACATAACCACAACCTTTGCATCGGTGGTCCGTTGTGCGGCGTGGAAAATGCGACCCAACATGAACATCTCGAAAGTTAGAGGTAATAAGACAGCAATCAGCACGCAGACATAGGTGGGCATTCGCGTAGTTCGCTCTAGACGGAGCGAGTCGACCCTCCATTCTCCTATCCAGACCCACATCCTTCCCGCTAGTAGTGCGGTAAATAATAATAGAAATTCTATGTCGACGTCTATGTCGAGGATGATCACTGTCATAATGGACTCGAGAGTAGCTGGGACAAATCTTGCATATAGCTCTTCGCTTTCTGTAGGTTCAAAAGGGCCGTACAAAAGGCAGTGAAGCCCAAAAACAATAAGGGAGCCGCATAGCAGGAGGGTATTAACAGCGATCTGTCGACCATTAGAATTATATTTTTCACTGCATCACGGAGAGCTGGACCAGGAATTCTGTATAATTTGACGGATAACCGGGAGCTTGGTAATCCAGGACCCGAGGATAAAATGACGGCATCGCTGTGGTGAGGTTGCAATATCAGAAGTTAGAACTATAACAGCGGCCTCGGACGATCAAATCGTGTAGATGCGGAGAGGGATGTGGCCGTTTAGCATTCTTAACAAGACTAATAATGTCACTGGTTCCAGATCGCTATTGTACTCCGCATGACACTGTTGCGGGATTTGTGCGTACTTTACGCGCCTTTCAATGCTTTTCTGTCCGTGTTCCATGGGCACTCAAACCTAGTTAGCTATTAGCCACAGTAAGTCTAATTATCATAGAACAGGGGCTGTGCTTCAGGTAGCGAGCGGTATTTTGCCTCGCACAAGTCAGATGCCCACTGTAGCTGCTTCCGCCATCATGATGTAACCTTTACGTTTACTTATCCCATAAGAATACAGGCTTTCCACATAACCATATTATTGCTCCGCTCGCATCTTCTTCCGTCTCCTGACAAATACGTTCTCAAGTCGACGACTACACTGAAGATGGCATGCACTTGTGGCGCTAACTGTGCATGCAATGGCCCCAGCAACTGTACCTGCTCAAGCAAGGACTGCTCGTGCAATTCCTGCAGTGTGAGTTTTAAAAAACAGTTTTAATTAGTCGTGGCAAACTGGCGGTCAAGTAGAAATGAGAAACAATTGTGAAGTCCTGTACAATGACGTCACTGAATATCATTTTAACGGTCGGGAAGTGAAGCGCGCCAATCCATTCATGTAATGTACCTGTCGAACACAATTGAGAACACTCCTTCAAGTGGAGCCGAATAAAGCATAGTACTATACCTGATGGCAACCCATTCTGATGGCGGAAGGTCTGTTTTGTCATGATAGAGAGGATTTTTGAGGTCGATTAACGACGGGGGCGCGTCGGTAACGGAACTATATGGAAACGAGCCGATTCCGGAGCTGAGAACCCAGGATTTATGGTCATGCAGCTGCATGGGGTGGCCCATCTGTGTCCGTTATGAATCAGTCCTTTGCTAACCAAAGACGGGGTGATCAGGATTGGCGTAGGCGAGCTTACCGAATCCATGGAATCATCTGAGATCCTCATGATAATGTCAATTGTCGAATTCGACGGCATATGGATGGTTGTATTCGCGTACCAGCCATCTGATATGTTACCCTCAATAATGGGGATATTCGGTTCGGTATATGGAGCTCTGTCCACTACCCTGTCACAGTTCCTGTCTGGCTGATCGTAAAAGCGTGTGTCTGATTAGCAGGCCCAGGAAGAGGAACCACTGATTCAAAAGGAAAGAGATTCAACCACTTGTTGCATATCTCCTTGGGGGTATGTGGCAAATCTGAGAAAGTAGCCGCCAGGAGGCTGACCTAGTCGAATCATAGCCGAATACCTCTGGCCGATCGCGATTTCGAGTACCTAGATCAGTGATGTGAGTGCCTGACGAACCATGCGAGAACCAGGTAATACCTACTTTTACTTCTTGCATCTTTACATATAGCCCGTCTGCAGCATATAAAAACATAGAGTGCGCATTAGAGAAACGCGTAGAGTGTTGACTGCACCGGAGTTGACAAGATTAAGCGCCATCCAACCTCGCATCCGATTCGCCGGTATTGTCAGCAACGCTGAAGAAGTGTTGACACAGGTTTCAGGCGGAATTGAGCTAGCATTAAAGCCAGGTCGGAACATCATAGACGATGAACAGCCGCGGGGACTCTATGAAAGCGTCAAGGGAGGCATGCCTGTCCAAAGACCTACTCAACATCCTATAGACAGAATCTATCGTATGCGAGCTTCGATGACCCCTATTTCGGCTTTCCTGATCTCACTCCCTCGTCGGACGATATACCGGAAGTAGAACAATTTTTGCCATTCCTCACCGTTGACGCTGCATCCCATAACGACGCCTACGGATTTGCCAGCCGTAGTGACGAGTCCGAATCAGATCTGAATCAAATCAATCCTTTTTCCGACGGTGATCGGCGCACGCGCTACCTCTAGCACCGAGCAATCTGAAGTCCATCGACATTGATGAAATTCTGAAACTGGCAGAACCCGATGCTAACGCCTTCCAAAGGCAGTGTTACGGTAGTACCTGCTACTCTATTACTTTACTCACCCTATTCGCACCTTCGGCTCACAATCTGGTATGTTCTCGGAGACAGCTTGAATATTATTGTAAAGCCCTCAACGATAGAGAGGAAATGGTAGTTCATCCCTGACACGTTTGCGAAGCCAAAATCGTGGTCATTTAGGCGAAAACCGTGGTCCACTGAAGATCAAAAGGCACATTTCCTCTTTTTACCATTCTGAACTTCATTCACTACCTATAAATATATAGCACTGATCCCATCACCTACTCCTAACTCATCTGAGTATTTCATTCCTTTCTACCTTTACAATGGCCAAAACGTCCGGCGTACGACCAAAGCCTTTGATGGTGGAGAGAAAGCCACTTCGAGAGAGGAGAGACCGACGCATGACGAATCTAGAAAAGAACGTTGCAAGAGTATAGCAAGATGTGCGGCGCAGATATGACCAATGCATGACCTGAAGAGATTAACTAAGCTTGAAACTTGGTCATAATGACTGCTCAATCGCATAAAAGGGCACGCTGTTGAAGATGGTGGACATTATATTCTCATGGTCTGGGACGAATTATTTAACAGGTGGTCTGACGAATGCTTGCGTGGTCTCATAGTCTTTATTGCAAGTACCCGAAAGTAACTGCCCTCCGGACTATTGAAAGGATGATCTTCCGTGTCTCTGGATGCAACTAGTACGGTGCAGCTGACGTGGAGGGATCACGTATTCGAGGTGCGTATGGTTGACTAGCTCCTTCATTTCCATGGTTTGAAGATGCTTCAAGTTCCTTCACCTCGCCAGTACCGTTGAATAATAATGGCGAGGGAAAGCGCAAAGCGTAAGGAGTGAAGCCGTGCGGAATTTGAGCATTGCCAGTACCAAACACATCTGGATGGGACCCCTCCCAATCAGCAGTATAGGCGTCTGCTCCTGTGCGGCCTGGTGAGAGCTGCGTATAAGTGGAGGAAAATATGTCCTCTCCATACAGATTCTCGGAATTTATGCCGTTCACGAGTCCGCTTGAGGCTGTCATTATTGGGAAGTCAACAGAAGAAAAGGACGGCATATCCAGATCAGGATTCTCTGTCACAGTTCGATGAACTGAGAAGTTATCAAGAGCCCTTGGTGCTGAAGCGGGTTCTATGTATCGGGGGTAGCCAGGTGTCATGGCGGAAGAAAGGCCAGTGAAGGATGAGAGGTCGGCAGGTGATATAACTGAGTTTGCGGCAAAGCTGTCCTCAGCTGACTTATACTGGAGCCAGCTGTGCTGATTCAAAGTTTGGGATTTGGGTATACTTGCTGAGGGACTTGTCTGTATGGAGGTGAACTGTCCAGGAGACCTGCAACGATCTTCGTGGAGGGCAGCTACTGCGCTCTCTGACTCGGATAACGTGCTCTTTCTGTGTTCGTGGACAAGGGGATGCGGCGGAGAAAGCCCCGAATCGAGTTCTAGGGACGGCTCTTTCTTCAACGCACAGACACAACGCTCCCCACGAACGCAATTACATTGTGGATAATAATTTTCTGTGCATTAATTTAGTTAGCAAGGAACCAGCCAAGCATACCAAATACTAATATACTCACGAGTCTTGCAGTCATTCTTTGCTCTGTTATTATTGCCACATCCGCACTTGACATGTGCTGATCGTGATTCGCGTAGACTACGACAGTGAGTGCACTGAGAGACTGGTCGCCCTTTTTTACTGATAAGGGTCAAGGGACGCTCTAGGGAATCAATCAGCAGGGCACCAAATCAGTATCTCAGTACTGACGGACCGGAATGGGAACAACTGGCAGCACGGTGGCCACGGATACAGGCGTCACAAGCCCACTTCTCACCATTGATAAGCATTGCTGGCGATTATGTCGAACAAAGCACGGAGCTAGAACGTGAGCTGTGCCCTTGTATGCTTCTGATGAATAGAATTTAAGTAGAGTGCAAAAGTGATGAGTGACTTGAGACACGTTGATGGTAAGATGAGCTGTCGGTGGCGAAGTGGACATCGGTCGGACCGGTTTAAGTTATTCACCCTCCCACTTAAAGTTGCCTGCTGTGACCACAAATGGCACGACCGAGACAACATTCGAAAAGCAATTAGGGAGTGTGAATTGGGGAGTGTCTCCTAGCCAATCGTACTCAATAAACACCCTATTTCTTTCACTGCGTTGAAAAAGAAGAGGTATTAATCGGTTTGTTATTCTTTTCGACTATTTTGTAGTCGGATCGCTGAGAGACAATCAATAGTTTAATCACGCGCTGTGAATTTTCTCTTGCCTGTTGGCCTTCATGCTTTCACCAGCATTGATTGGCCTTTTAACACTCGTTGACAGCTCCTGGCACTCTATTATTTTATCCTCATTCATGCTGCAGTACAGTTATCGTAGTTATCGTAGAAAGTGTCGTTTTTAGTTAACTAAATAGCTGACTTGGAATATGTGGCAGAAAATCAACCGACCACAGAGGCCTAAACGTTTCACGCAACTAACTTTGGGCGTGACTTGATGTTTTAGGGGATACACGTGATGTGTGCGGGGCGAGGGAAGGGTGGTGTAATCATCAACGTTTTATTCTGGCAACGGCAATAATTGACCACCGTACTTTTGTTCGAGAGGCGCCATCTTTTTCTCACCGGCCATCCTTTAGTGCTTTTCATCACCACTTTTACAGTATGATCAACATTATGTGTGCCAACCTTTACCATTTCTGGTTTAATTGTTCAACAGTTGACTCGAAGGCAACCAACACGAGTTCATTTAACAGAGTTACTCTTATTCATGGACGCTCACCAGTATCCTGAACACACCCGAAAAGTTCACCTCATTGTGTTGAGTCGAGCCTCGATTTCTACGAAAATCCGGCTCCTCACCACATCCGACCGATGTCGCACATGATTGGGATATTGCTCAGCCTGGAATATCATGCAGCCCCCATCGGCTTCAATTTTATGTCATCCGGCGCCATTCATTCCTGCGGTCAGTGTGTTGGCGCATCGAGAACAGTCCCATGCTCAGAATAAACTATTTGGAGAGACGCCTAGGGATATGATTCGAAAATTCAGGGGCAGATACCAGTATTCCCTGAAGCTGTCCTGTCCTTACGCGTAAGGCATATACCAGATGGGCTGTTGCACCTATCCCGATGGGGAAGGTTGCGGCAAGGACCATTTACATAGTTGTGTAGTTCGATTTGTTCGTTTGCTTTTTGAATGCAATGGCCGACACAGACACCACAAAAAGAGGGGGTCAATCCAGGCCAAGTCTAGGTTGGTGCTACCTTCATTACCTTATTGATAGGCCTCCTACCCTGCAAGTAGATAGATTATATCTTAACAGAACGTTACTTCTCGGAACGTGTTACAAGCACCCCCTTTGGAAAAGGTTTTATCTATATGGAGCATCAGGGAGTCAAGCAAGGTCTTCCCAATAAAATGCCGCAAACTCCGTGACTGAAACGGACCAGTGGGTAGCACCAGCATGCGAAAGCCATATCTCACGTCGTGCCCCAGAAAACAATGCGCTTCACAGCCATAGATCCTATGGGCGACCGTGCAAATGAGCTAATTTGTTGAGGGTGGCAACATAATGGGTGATTGGTTCTTTCTCACTCCTTTCTCCACCTTGGAGTACCATAACATGACCCTGCAAAACACACAATCCAATCAAGAGGTTTGCAATATCTTTGATCGACGTAAGGCTATACTTGGAGAATTTCCAGAGGACCTACAGCTCGCAGGGGTTATATCATTGGTCAACTGGCTCTCCTTTCCACAATAAGCTTTCACCTCACAATGAAGGAATTGTCGTATTGTCCTTATTTGGCTGTTCTGCTGAAATACATTTCGATTTATATTGCTATGACGATTTGGTTTCAATCTTCGAAAGAGAAGAGATTGTCCTCGTCTGTGGGGTCTTCATTCGTTTGCCTATGGAGAAGACTTCTTTTGGGACCTGCATCCCTCCTATGCAAATCCTCGTTGGCTTTCTTGTCAACGTTGCTGGCAGCCGGGATAGGGGAAGAAGGGTGGGAAATATTGTCCCGGTGGAGATGCCCTCTGCCTGTTTGAATAGCGTCGAGATCGGTCACTCGATGAGCGGCGGAAAAAGCAAAGTCGCCGGAGTCAAAGTAAGTCCGTTCCTTCCGATTGTCAGCACGCTCACAATAAATCACATTTTGAGTACCTTGGATTTTTCACCCAGTAAGCCTCCACGCGGCCGCTTTCCGTACTTGCTCAAGTGACGTTTCTCACTTTCAGACAATGGCTGAGGGAATATTATTAGCGCCCTTGCTCCAGGGTTGGGTGGGTGCGGAAAGGCCCTACTTCAGGATATGGCTCCTTGCCCCCTGATTGCATTTTAAGAGGTAGTCCCGTGTTCTCAGAAGGACTTTCCAAGTACTCGATGGATTTTCTACCTGATCTGCAATTCCTATGAATCCCCCGGCCAAAGGTCTATGACGTTATTATTCTGTCACGTGCTATTATTGCGTTAGCTACCTCGCTCGAAATTCTCGTTCAGCACTTGCAGCCAATCACATTTTATCAGTATGTTGACTAATCGAGCGTATGCCTAACCCAGCTACCACTCAGGCTCCTGTCGTTGCCTGAGACGTAGTTGTTCACCTAAGTTACGGGCTTATTCATACTGTCGCAATTACCTACGAATACTGCATGAAACCGGGTCTATAGATGATCCGTCGGCATAGCTTATGTAACTAGAATGGACCCATAACGTTAACGTAATTCACCAGTGAGCTGCGCACCACTAGTGAGCTGCGCACCACTAGTGAGCTGCGCAGTCCGGAACACATAAGTAAATGCGATATATGTTACATCTATATCTTAACAACCGCACACTTGTTCTATCTAGTTACCTACCGATAACAATCGATAAGACTTATTAGTACTGTATATCAATTTCAAGGACACCGAAAGGCCAGGTGATTATCATTTCCAAATTTACCGAAAATTACGAACACAAAAGCTCGATATTAATATATCTTGATAATTATGACAGAGAAACTCCTTAAGCTCAGGTAAAGTGCTGGACACTACATGGAGAGTATTTAGGCTTAAGGAAAGATTCCTGTAGACAAGGATTGTTGAGATATTAAGTTGTAATTTATCCCATTTACTATGTGTTCTGGACTGCGCAGCTCACTAGTGGTGCGCAGCTCACTGGTGAATTACGTTAAATAGCGAGAAATAGGAGTAATGGGAATACAGAGTCATTGATATCTCCAATTGGCCGGATACAGTACGGATCGTGACACATACCTCACAAACACGACAGATGAAGTACATACACTGTGATGAGCAGCTTACCTAGATTCCCCTGATCCACTGATAGTTAACTAGCCGTAGCTGACATAAGCCAACGAAGACCTGGGAAATATGGCAAGAAAGTGGGCATGCCACGGGCTTGTCCAAGAGGACATCTTTCTTGGTGGGCAAGGGGAAATAAACCTGCATCAGACTTGGGGGTTGCCTGGGTATTAGGAAACGCGCTTGATTTGGAGTGGAGACTGTTATCTGGCCGATAATATTCAATAAGCACCCTACTTCTTTCATGATGTCCAAGTTAACAAGAAAATGAGTGAATGAATCTGTTCATTTATTCTTTTTCGACCATAGACATAGGTTTCCTGTAAACACCGGCTGCAAGTTTGCTTACCCGTTGAACTTCCAGCTTTCTATGGGTCTTGTGCCACTACAGTATGTTCTTGTTTATTGCTGATATCATGGAAAGCATCGTTGAAGCATCGTTGAATTTGCATATTCGGTCAATGTACAAATAACCAGTCGCATTTCATCGTTCATCAACATCATTCCTCTTCAAACGGTGTCATTGCAAGAAATTTTTGCCCATTTAACCACCCCTTTTTCTGTTGCCTACACTTATTGCCCGCATTTCAATTCGCATTCCTAATCTTGATGACCCATTTCAGATCCTGCTTTCAATCTCGCGAGTCAGATTCTTAAGTAGGATCCTAGGATCAAATTCGACCCCAGGATCCATACCATGGTTCTGTCAGGGATCTACCTGAAGTATACAGGATGTTTGGAGAAATGATCTGCGGGACCCACATGGTGCATATGGGTTCCCCTGAACGCGAGGAAGCCCGTTCCTTTTGCTTCCTCGCGCTACGTCTTGTATCTAGAGTCGACTATA